GAGGCTGAGGGGGCGTGTACGGTGCCGGCCCCTCCCCCGTGCTGGGAGGCTGAGGGGGCGTGTACAGTGCAGGCCCCTCCCCCGTGCTGAGAGGCTGAGGGGGCCTGTACGGTGCTGGCCCCTCCCCCGTGCTGAGAGGTGAGGCTAAATTTCTCAGGAAGCCGGTTGGAACCCTGGAGAGTCTCACTTCTGGCTCACTTATCTCCTTGAAGAATCTGGTTCTTTCTTAGGGTTCATTATCCTTGTCTGTGAAATTGGGGGAATTGGAAATGGCAAACTCTCCAGGCCTTCCAGCTCCTGACAACTTTATGGTTGTAGCTGGTAGGTGAGCCTCAGTGCTAGCAGGTCGGCAGTACACTGGCCACAGGTGAATATGCTCCTTAAAATGAACATGTCCCTGAGCGTCTCCTGTGAGCAACTCAGCATTGTTTGGGTTGTGGTGTGACCCTTCTACTTGTCTCTCACCCATTCGGATGACCTGCTCACTTCCTGGTCCTTTCCTTCCAGACTCGGGAACAGCTACAAGCTGATCTGCTGAGATGTCAGGCCAAAATTGAGGATTTGGAGAAGTTACTGGTTGAGAAGGGACAGGTGAGCAGAAGTGATCCCATGTTTTTGCATCTTTGCTTTTCTGTCCTGTTGGTGTGTCTCCAGTGCTTGCCCACACGCCGAGGGGAGTGTTCCACGGAACTGTGTCTACAGCTCCAGAGACACTAGAGAAAAAACCCCAGCAGAACCCTGGTGAGAACATGCTTCCTCGTGTGCCTGTTTGCTGAGTTAAAAACAATCAAAACACATTACAGAATTCTAACTTGGCTCTTTATTTGCCAAATGCACAAAAATAGGAGATAGTTCCAAAAGCAGAGCTGCGTCCAAAACTTTTTTTGACTCGAACCTTGAGACTGACTGAGTTATTGCAGATGCCAGGCCTCAGGCATCATGGCAACAGGGTTCTATGCTGTGATTATTCATGAAAAATCCTGGCACTTGTGCTTGTCAGATTAGAGTCACCTCCACATACCCATCCTCTGCGTTTGATTGGGCAAGGCCTACTTGGCAGCAAGGCCCTGGGATGGTGAAGACAGCAGAGAAGGCCTTGGGTGGAGGTGCAGCCTCTCAGAGGGTAGCATGGAAGGTTAGCACAGGTCAGCCTGCTCTGTGTCAGAGGGCTGTCTGCTCTGAGTGTTTCTCCGGGATCCGGGGTGGAGGGATCACCATTTTGTAAGTGCTCTATCTAGAACTTGTCTCTGCTTAACTGTTCACTGCCTTGGCAAAATTCTTGGTACAAGCTAGTCCCATGGCCTCACCCTAACTGCAAGAGTGACAAGGAGTATGGACAGATGGCGTGTCTGGGGGTACCCTTTCCCTGCCTCCGGGTCATCTGTGGAGATGCTTCTACCCACAGCCTGATGGGTTGTATACCTAGGGAGGTCTGGCAGTGTCTGGCGTGGTCTGCCACAGGACCTAGGCCTGGTGGGACCCTGCAGGTGGGAGGTGGCTGGTGTGAAGGGAAGGGCTATAAGAAGTTCCAGGCTGATTAACAGGGAGGAACTCAGGAAGGGTACCACAAGTCATATGGCTTACAACCAATTCAGACTAATCCCCAGTTAGTAGACCAGGGCTCAGGGTTGTGACTGAGGCTGATGGCCAGTGATCAGGACTCACACTGGCCCAGAGCAGGTCACTGCAGCAGTGTTAATTAAGTGCTGGGGCTGTACCATGAGCACCAAGCTTTCAGGAATGTTATCTGTAAATTATGGTACCTCATTTGTAGCACAATGCTGGGGCCAGTCTGCCTGAGCTCAAATGTGGCTCTGTTGCCTGCTTGTTGTATGACCTTGAGTGAGTTACATGATCTCTTTGGGCCTCAGTTTCCTCATTGTTGAAATGGGCCTCTAGTTCTTCTCACATTAAGGAAGGGGAAGCAGGAGATGCAGAGGGACCAGGGCAGAGACTCAGGTAAGAGAGGATGAGGTGTTTTTCATGCACCTGCCACACTTGGCATTGGCTTCAGTTTCCTTCTTCCAGGCTGAGCTCACACATTTGAACTTGCCTATTCACAGTCTGTGGCTAACTCAGCCTCCCACCCTAGGTCCTCTGTTTGTCCTCTGCTTTGTCCTCACTGCCTGCTGCAGGAAGGGGCCAGCCTGGGGCAAAGCGTGTGGCCATTTGTTTAGTAAGCATTTTCCAGAGCCCTTGGCTTCCACACCCTGAGCTGATGCGTGGGGTGATGGATCAGCATGCTATTGCTGTGTAACAAACCACCCTGAACTTAGTTGTTTAAAACCACAAACATTTTATTTGCTCATAGTCCTGAGGTTCATCAGGGTGGGCTAGCCCCGTCCAGGACTCAGTGGCTCTGCCAGTCTCACCTGGGCTTGTTCTCCATACGGATCAATCCACTGGGGCCAAATGGCCTGAAATGGCCTCATGCTCCTGTTTGAGTCTGGTGCCAGCTGCCTGGCTGGGTCTCTCATCCTCACAGATGCTCCCTGCCTTCTTCACCTGGTGGTCTTGGGACAGGGGAAAGGGCAAGTGCTGAGGCACAAGCACTTTCCAACCCTCTGCTTACAGCTGCAACAGTCCCAGTACCCAGAGCATGTCAGAATTGAGCCCAGCTTCAAGGTGGGAGAAACAGACCCCACCACTTGTCAGGAGGTGCCCCAAAGAGGCATGCACTCAGAGGTGGGAGGGTGTGCTGCAGCAGTCTCCACCCTACCCATTCTGCCCTGGGTGAACAGGGGACGGAATGCTGCTCTGTCCTCTCTGCCCTGCAGGCTGATGAGCCAACACTGGGGCAGCATGTGGTGGTGCAGGGTGATAAATTTTAAGGAGAAGGAAGCCCAGGAGCAACCCGTGTCTTTTCTGCACATTCCTTGTGAGTGGAATCAGACCTGAGATTAGGCCTTGGCTTTTAAGCATCCTAGAAAGACTGGGTGACCCTGGCTGGGTGCAGCCCAGTTCTGTGCTGACCAGTAGAGGAGAGGGGAAGAGAGTAGGAGAGTCTTCCCTTGCCTTCCCTTACTCATGTGTCCATCCATTTTGACATTCCCTGAGCACCAGCTGTATGCCAGGCACTGTGCTGGGCTTGGGAACCCACAGTGACTAGGTGGACTTTGTGCCCTGTGCTCACAGATCTTATGTGGGAGGGATTTGATGAGGCAGAGACACCTGGGTGGGGGGAGGGGGCAGCACAGCTCTGACCAGAGTGTGGGACATGGGACTTGGCCTTCTGGGTGTGCTGAGGGCCTGCCAGCTTGGACTCAGTCCCACTTGAGCTGTGTCTCTATAAGTGATGCTCATAGAATGAGGTCACTGCATCTTGGGAGACGTGAACAAGTGGGGAGGGAGGCCCCCAGACCTGCTGCTGCTCTCTCTGGGGTATGAAGTTCCAGCAGGCAGTGAGGGTGTCTAACTAGCTACTGTCCTTTCTCTGACCCTGCCCTAAAAATGTGCTGTTTCCCCATCAGTGGGCTTCAGTCAGTGTGACATATTTAGTGCTTTTCCTTAGGATTCCAAATGGGTGGAAGAGAAGCAGCTACTGATGAGAACGAACCAAGACTTGCTGGAAAAGGTACGTGACCCTGCTGCAGAGAGTCGCAGAGCTCCGGGGATGCCAGGGCCTCATGAGTGCCTTCCCACGACAGAGGCTCTGGAGCCGGGGCTGCTCTCCTGAGGGAACACATCTTCCTCATGTGGAGTCAAAGCCTCATTCCTGGTTGTGTCCCCTGAGACCTGTCCTGCAGTTTAGACCATCTTCCCAGACACCTTGCAGGGAAGGGAGGGCTGGCCTGTCCTCCTGACACTGAGCTTCCAGGCCACCACTGCCATTGCTTGGGGTTCCAGAGCCCTTTACCCTCCAGCACAGTAGAGCACCTGATATTCTGTCTGTGGACAGCCCCAACTGCCCTCAGGCCATCTCAGCCCAGTTTGGCTGACCCAACTAGGAGCTGGGCCACTCTGGTCATGGAACTTTCCAGAGCTCTCAGGAAGTCTGGGAAGTAGATCTCATGCTCTGGGATTAAGACCATAGCTTTATCTTTTCCTCTTTATTTGTGTACAATGTGATCCTTCTTATAGTAAACCTACTTGCACTGAATTGTGCAACCATCACATTAATATAGTTTTAGAATGTTTCAGCTCCCCAAAGACCCCTCCTGCTCACTTGCAGCCGTCCCCCTGTCCCAGCTCCCCGTCTCTGGCAGCACCATGTACTCTATATCTCTATAGATTTGCCTTTTCTGGATGTTCCATGTAAGTAGGATGAGACCCAAGGTTATGCCTCCACTTTGAAGTGTCTAGAATGCCAGCACTGGGACCCTTGGGAGGGGTCTCAGTCCAGCCCCAGCTCTGCCCTTGACCAGCATGTGGCCTGTCCCATTCCCTGTGTTTCTCACTGGTGTTTGGGACAGGGCCAGTCGTCATGTGAGCTGGCCTGGTGCCATGGTCTTGCTCACCAAATTCCAGGATCCACAGAAAACTCTCACATGTTCACCCCATTTCCAGGTGTCCCTGTGGGGTGGGACCACATGGCGTAGAGACCCTCTGGGTCCTCCCACATTGGTGATCAGGGTAGTGACCTCTCACTGGTGGCAGGACTTGCTGCTGCTTTTATGCTCCTTAAACAGAAACCAGCACACAGAACTGTTAGGCAGCTGTCTAGTGTCGCCCAGCTGGTTGCAGGATCTGGGCATCTCGCTTCCCAGTCTGTGCCCTCAGGGAACTGCTGCCATTAAGACTTCTTATGCAGGCTTTGTGGGGAAGCAGGAGAGGCCCTGGCCTCCCTGCTGCAGTTTGCTGGGCTTCTGTCAAGGGGGGCTGATTCAGGGGGATGGTTGAGTTGAAGAATCTGGCCAGGTTTTGAGAGGCACTGGGCACTCATGCTTCCCCCATGTTTGACCTCAGGAGGGACTTAGTACCTCTGTGCCTCAGTTTCCCCATCATTCATGTATTCAGCAAATGTATAAAGAGCCCTTACTTTATTGCACCAGGCTCAGGACTACACAGGTGTAGTCCTGGCTCAACCTCTGCCTTCCTAATTCCCATCCTCATCAGCAGAAAGGGCCTGCAGCCTCCTGTGCTTGCAGCAAATCCTCTTCCCTCCAGCAGTGAGTCCTTAATTTTCTTCAGGCCACCCACTGAGGTGGCTGGTGATCAAGGGACCCTGGTGTAAAGGCCAAGGGCTCTGCCACCTGCCCATTAATCTACAGGTCTCTTTGCTCTAGATTTACAGACTGGAAATGGAAGAAAACCAGCTGAAGAATGAAATGCAAGACGCAAAGGATCAGAACGAGCTGTTAGAATTCAGAGTGCTAGAACTTGAAGTAAGAGACTCTATCTGTTGTAAACTCTCAAATGGAGCAGACATTCTCTTTGAACCCAAACTGAAATTCATGTAAAGCTCCCAGATGTTTTTCAAGCATGTGTAAAGGGGACATGTGATAGTTTTCTTCCTCCCTTCTTTCCTTCTTTTCTTTCTTTAAATCTGTATGTTCAGAATAATTTCACTGCCTTAATATGTTCTGGAGAGAATGCTCACTGAAGTCTATGGACATGTACCAGAGCTAATATATTTATTGCCTACAGCTTGTTTTGCACTTAATAAAATAATTTGTTTTTGCAATAGTTTGCCTTTTTTATTTGTGTTTCATTTCCATAACTACTACTTTCCTGCATGCATAGTCACCGGGCACGCATTCTGCAAGCCCAGACAGAAGCACTGTTGCAATTAATAACACACCTTTTTAAGTAATCTTGCATGCAGCAAATCTCACCTTTTGAAATAGCAGAGTCTGACCTGGCCAGCAATTGACTCTCTAATGTGTTTGATGCCAGTTTGGGCCTATTTTCTATGTGCCAAGGTAAACACAAGGTAAGTAAAGACAGGGTAGAAGGATATATTTGTGTAGGGATTTAAGAAAACTAGTTATGTTGCTCAAACTCTTCCATCCAGTAGACGCAGACCCAGGCATCACAGCCATACTGCACTAAAGAAATTGCTATTTGTAACTCAAACTGCAACTCGGAACAACTGGAGGGAGATTGATTGCTGTTCACACGTAGAAATCATGTTCCTTAAGGAACATCCCTAATGCACCCAGTGGGGTTCAGTGAAAGAATATTATTTTTATTCCTTCCAACTGAAGTCTTGCCTCGGGTGTGTTACTGTATTGCCTTGCTCTCATGGATTTTCATAGTCCTTTTCTGTTTCTGTTTAAAAATCATTGACATTCTGAACATCACTTACGTTTGTGATGAGTTTCTCGAAGCACTTGTGACACTGCTCTGCTCTGTCCCAGCTGAAAGCTCTGCATGAGTGAAACCTCAGCCAAAGCGAGCACCTTCCCAGTGTGTGTGGCTTCTCTGAGTCTGTCTCTCCTGGCTGAGTTACACTGTCTGCATTAGAACTTCCCATCTGTGCCTCATTGTGTTGGCAGGGACGGTGGCCTGAGTGTCTCCCCACACCAGGTGCTGCTGTGTTACTCAGCTCTTGCTTGGGCATGACATGAGTATTTTATTTGTGTGACAGAACTGGAAGTGATGTGAGGTCGTTGTTAATCCCGTGGCTTTTAGAAACCTTTCACTAGGCTTTGAGTCTTCCTCATGAGAATTCCATAAGCTCTGCTCAGTTGACTGGGAATTTCTTCAGTTGCCTCCACCATCCTTCGGAGCCATCATAAACCAATTTTCTAATGTTAGTTCATATAAAATATGAGCCTTGGGGGTCACCTTTTCTATGGAGACTCTATTTAAACAAATTTGCTAGTAGAAAGGCATATGTGAAATGGAGCCATTGTGAATTTTATTCTTCTTGGCTAGTAAGAGAAATAAGGTTTTCTCTCTAGACTGGTTCAAATCTAGTTGGCCAGGTTGAGGATTCATGTAAATTGAATTAGTGGCCTCACCCTTCTTCTTTGCTTCACACTCACCCAAAAATTTCTTCTTAAGACCTGCCATCCAAATTTGCGTTCCTCTCAGTTACATTTCTTAGTTGAATTATTAAGTAAGCCCATGAGTTCTATAGCTAAATTCTGCTGGAATGGTCCAAAGCATGCTACTTTTATCTTACTGTAACTTCTGTCAAATAAAAGCAGTTTGATTTAAAGGTATAATTTGAAAAGGTCTTCTCTGCTACCCTGCCATGGCTGATCTGTTGGTAAATGTTCCAAGTCAGCTTTATGTAGGAGCCCCATTTGAGACCAGAGGGCTGCTCTGTCGCTGTGCCTTAGTCCTGTAAGTAACTAGGTTTCTCCTGTCATTTTTAAAACTTGTCACTTTATGTATGATTAATAAGTACTTCTGAGAAAATGCTTTCATTTCCTTCCTTGGTAGGCAGGTGTAGGATGACCATCAATTGTATTAGTGTGGTTCAAAAAAGTGTATAAGCAGAGTCGTCAGATTATACTGAAAAGACCAGGAAGCCAGGGTATGGGTCCCAGCCCTGTCCTGGCGTGGGGCCTCAGACTCAACTTCCCCAAGCCTCTGTCTTTTTGTCTACGGAATGACAGCAGTGACACCTGCCTTGTGGAGTTGTGTGAGGAGCAAATGGCGTAATGATGTGCCTGGCACAGAATAACACACCATAGTCAGTGGCTTTTGTTAGCTATTCAAATTTAGTGTAATTGTTTTTTATTAATTTTTTAAATTCTGTGACCTCATGGGTTTTGATCTTGCAACAGATAAACTCATGTAACCATTTCTTCCTAGCTGAATAGGTAAGGAACTTCCAAAGGAGATCTGCTGCGTGGAAAGGCGTGAAAACAAGGAATTTCATGGACAAGGCTACCGTAGTCCCAATGTGCCCTTTAGTGACACCTTTGCCAGCTGGAATTCGTTGGTTTTTGCTGAGTAACGTGGGAAAATGGCAAGTAGTGAATAATCCAATCAAGTTCTGTTTTTAAACCAAATCTTTTCCCCAGGAGAGAGAGCGGAGGTCGCCAGCATTTAACCTCCAAATCACCACCTTCCCTGAGAACAACAGCAGCGCTCTCCAGCTGTTCTGTCACCAGGAAGGAGTTAAGGTAGTGTGCTTGGGGGGGTGCCTCCCCTAAACTGACCGCCCAGGCCTCACTCAGATGCCAGGCTCAGTTGTAAAGGGGGATTGTGTCCTTGTGCCTTGGAAAGAATTGGTTTTAATGAGATATTCCTTGTCCTTCCACTCTTTGTTGAAAATCATAGTTTGTTCATTTTCTAAGGGTCACCAATTGTTACTTTATTTTGACCTGTGTCCTTGAAAGACTTGGGAAGTAGCCTTGAGTGCAAACCCCAGCTTTCCCCCTGCTCTGCTCCGATCAGTCAACTTCCTGAGCCTTAGCCTCTTTTTTATGATGTATAAATGGCAGTACCCACACTGTGATGCTAGGGTGACAGTGCAGTTAGATAACAAGTGAATGGAGGGGTGTGACTGGCACGCAGTAAGCTGTGCAGGTGAGGGCTCTGCTTATTGTGAAGGCCCAGGGTTTGCCCGGTGCCTGGAGCCCTGCTAGGCCCTGTGGGCAATGTCCTCCTGACCCACATGATTCCAGGGGCCTTTCTAGAAAGCAGATTTTGTGCTGGTGTAAAACTCAGCAAATAAACAGCAGTTATGGCTTTTTCCCCTCACTCCCCAGAGGAGCAGCAAGGCCCCAGGCCCGTCCTGCTGCAGGCACTCACAAAAACGGAAAGCCTAGTGTATCACCAGGAGGAAGTCGTGGCACTAGAAATTGGTGTGGATGATCTTTGCAGCTCACACAAAAATGAACGTTGGAAATCTTTTCCAGGATGTGAATATTTCTGAACTTATGAAGAAATTAGATATCCTTGGCGATAACGGGGTAACTATGCTCAATCGGTTTCTGGTTTTGTGTGCTTGTTTGATCTGGGTGTGTTCTGTCTGACTTTTCTTTTGTTGTCTTTTTTTTTTTTCCCTCTGATGTAAGAGATCTAATAAAAACAATGTAAGGCTTCTCTCTGGCCATGTTCCTGTGTGGGAGGCTGGGTTTGTACTTGTCAGAAGTGGGGTTCCAGGGTGAGATTGTCTTTATGGCCTGTGATAAGGGGGCAAAAAACCCTAATAAGTGCCATTCACAAAGAAGGTGAAGTCACTGGAGTTTGATGAAATCAGAAAGGGATATTTTTGTATTTCTGAAAGACTGGCTTAAATGAGGCCGTTTCTCAGGGGCTTAGTGTCACTCGTGAAATGTCCTCAGCCAGAGGGACAGGAGAGGGAACTGGCTCTCGGGCTGCGGCTCAGAGAGGCGTTCTTCCAGTTGCTTGGTGCTGACTGTCTGCACGTGGATTTGGGATCCAGTGTAAAATGCCCTTGCCCATTTTTGTGTTTTAGAATTTGAGAAATGAAGAACAGGTTGCAATAATCCAAGCTGGAACTGTGCTTGCCCTGTGTGAAAAGGTAGAACCCAGCGGCGTCGCTGTGCTCACACTCTGTGCGGCTTCCCAGCACCATACAAGAAACCCTCCATTGGCATCTGGCTTTGTGTGGGGAGCACGTGTGTCCGCGTGTCTGCATGTGCACACATGCATGCCTTTCTGTTTTTGGAAGGAGAGTCACACATGTTCATTGTAGAAAACCCAGAGATGTTGGGTGCATTTCCTTCTGGTTGCTTCCTCACACCCATTTTTGTTGTTAACTTGGTTGAAATCATACTTGATGTCTGGGTTTTGATCCTGCTTCAGAAGCTCCCCATGCCATGTGAAGTGGTTCACAAGCCCCTGTCTTAATGTCCCTGCTCATCCCACTGTGCAGCACTGTCAGTCATTTAGTCCGTCCTTGACTGGTAGAGATCTGGGGATCCAGTTTTTCTCTTTTTACAGTCATGCAGTGGTGAACTTTTTTTTTTTTTTTTAAGACAGGGCCTCACTCTGTTTCCCAGGCTAGAGTGCCGTGGCCTCAGCCTACCTCACAGCAACCTCAAATTGCTAGGTTCAAGTAGTCTTCCTGCCTCAGCCTCCTGAGTAGCTGGGACTACTGGTGATTACTACAACAGCCAGCTAATTTTTTTTTTTTTAGTAGAAATGGGGTCTCCCTCTTGCTCAGGCCAGTCTTGAATTCCTGAACTCAAGCAGGCCCTGCCATCTCAGTCTCCCAGAGTATATGAGCCACTGTGCCCGGCCAATGGTAAACATTTTTACACATGAATTCCTATCTAAATTTTAAAATATACCCATAGGCTAGATTGTAGAAGCAGAATCATTGAGCCAAATGATAAGGATGATTGTGAGGGACTTGGCATCATCAAAACAGTTTGCACTAGAAAGTGCAATTACGCTTCTCCCGTGGCCTAATAATGCATCCCTGGCTTCACGCTGGCCCAGCATGTTACCATAAAAAGAACCTTGCCCCCTAGATAAGTGAAAAGCTATGTGATGTCATTGTCTAAGTTTTATTTATTTGGGTACTAGTGATGCTGAGTTTTTTGGTGTGTTTCATCTATTTTCTTCTTCCTTGTGAATTGTAGCTGCATTTCTTTTGAGGATTTTCCATTGAGTTTGTTCATCCATCCATCCATTTGTTCAACAAATATGTATTTGTTGTAAATGTTTTTGTTACTGACTTCTCTGTGTGCTTTACATATTGAAGATACTTTATGACCTTTTCTTAAAAATATATTCCTGATTTGTTTGCCTTTTATGTTGTTTTAGAAACCCAAAACTCTTTGTATAGGTCTAAAACTCACGTGAGCCCTTTCAAATTACATGAGTTAAACTTTAAAATGCTATTTTGGTAATGATGAGGTCTTAACGATCTTAGCATTTGTTCCAGAATCTTTGGGAAGGCATTTAAAATAGAAATAGTGTTTCTTCCTTGAGCACTTGTCCATTCTCCACAATCAGGTAAAGAACACTTAACAGACTGAAGGCCAAACCTTGCCCAAGGTCACACAGGTAGGAAGTGGTGCAGAGGGTTGGAGTTGGGCTTTCTGTCCTGTCAGGTCACCTGGCCCAGCCTGCCTCTCCAGGTGAACAGTGGAAGTGGT